ACAATGACGACTATAAATGGGCAATAAGGCCAACAACCAGAGTAACTGATCAATGACGACTATGAATGGGCAATAACGCCAACAACCAGAGTAACTGGTCAATGACGACTATGAATGGGCAATAACGCCAACAACCAGAGTAACTGGTCAATGACGACTATGAATGGGCAATAACGCCAACAACCAGAGTAACTGGTCAATGACGACTATGAATGGGCAATAACGCCAACAACCAGAGTAACTGGTCAATGACGACTATGAATGGGCAATAACGCCAATAACCAGAGTAACTGGCCAATAACGACCATGTATGGGTTATTACGCCAGAAACTAAAATAACTGACCAACGACGATTATGAATGGGTTATAACGCCAACAACGACTATGTATGGGTTATTACGCCAGAAACCAACATAACTGATCAATGACGATTATGAATGGGTTATAACGCCAACAACCAGAGTAACTGGCCACTAACGACTATGTATGGGTTATAACGCCAGAAACCAACGTAACTGGCCAATGACGATTATGAATGGGTTATAATGTCAACAAGCAGCAAAACTGGCCAATAAGAACTCTGTATGGGTTATAACGCGAGAAACCAACATAACTGGTCAGTGACGACTATGAATGGGTTATAACGCCAACAACCAGAGTAACTGGCCACTAACGACTATGTATGGGTTATAACGCCAGAAACCAACGTAACTGGCCAATGACGATTATGAATGGGTTATAGTGTCAACAAGCAGCAAAACTGGCCAATAACAACTCTGTATGGGTTATTACGCGAGAAACCAACATAACTGATCAATGATGATTATGAATGGGTTATAACGCCAACAACCAGAGTAACTGGCCACTAACGACTATGTATGGGTTTATAACGCCAGAAACCAGAGTAACTGGCCAATGACGATTATGAATGGGTTATAATGTCAACAAGCAGCAAAACTGGCCAATAAGAACTCTGTATGGGTTATAACGCGAGAAACCAACATAACAGGTCAGTGACGACTATGAATGGGTTATAACGCCAGAAACCAGAGTAACTGGCCAATGACGATTATGAATGGGTTATAATGTCAACAACCAGCAAAACTGGCCAAAGCAACTATGAATGGGGTGTAACGTCAAAAACCAACGTAACTTGCAAATGACAACTATGATAGGATTATAACGCTAATACGGATTTTTATCGACACATCATACATTATTCATATTTACTCCACTAATACATGTATATAACTTTTTAACAAGTACACAATCTGACAAAGTAGATATTATGCAGTGTTGCCCCAAAAGTACAAGGTGTAATGAAATGATATAGATTACGAATAAACAAATTACAAAAATAGCTTATATCATATTCAAAACGATGCGACCTTTAGCACCATGCCCGCTTGCCATAAATCGATGAGCCTCGCTGGCCTCTTTCAGTGGAAACTCTTTCCATATCAATGGTCTTAACCAACCTTTCTGAATTCCGTCATTGATGGCTGCACCTATATTTCTCCGTTCCGCCTAGACAGACAATGAAAACGACATGTATGAAATAATATATTCTAAACTACCCCATGTTTCCATGCTTTGGTAACCTTTTCTTATTAACTTGTAGATAACGTAGATATATACGCAATTAGAGGCTGTAATTATCAAATTGTAATGTGCATATTATGTAATTGTTATACACTATATACCCTGGACGCAAATGGCCTCAGATATCTCGCCGTGAGCGAAAAACCGCGAGACTTTGCCACAAAAGTAGTGTTCTATTGTGTCCCATCATCGCCAACAGAAGGCGAAGGTTTA